TGAAAAATAAACTGAATAGAAAATATGAATTTTAAGTTTGCAGACTGTATAGTCGCAAATGATCTGAAAATGTTTTGTTGGAAATTAATAGAGTCCATTCTACCCACACATCCATTATGTGTACTGCAATTTTTGATGATAACATATTAAGCCCGGAGACGTTGAAAAAGCCCTCATGCTTTGAAGTTACTAAAACATCCTTTGGATATGAAATATATTAATAAGTTTTTAACTTTTAACTATTTCTGATTCTCTATCTCTCTGTTTAAAGGATTCCCGATGGACATAGGCATCATTATGGGCTCCGGCTGTTAGCTGGTCACTATTATGCGTCGCATTAATGATACCACTTGAATTAATCATATTGGAAGGTAGAAACTGACCTGACATGTGCCTGATTTTACTGAAAAAGTTGTAGGAATGTATCTTACAAGTAAAACAAAAAAGCTCTTCGAGAAGAAAGAAAATCATCATCGACATCCAATTTGAAGAACGAACTATTATTTATTTTCGATTATGTATGCGCAAGAAGACAGACCAAGGTAAATTAATGCTGCACTTAATGCCACCATTCAATATAAAACGTCCATCTTCAAGATAGGAGCCCTATTTCTTGAAAAGCAGATCAGGTCGTAACTGAATACCAGCACTCACAAATCTACTTCTATTAACGATATAATATTTTTTTAGTTTAGGTTGAACTAAATATGGTTTAGACCATATAATTAATTAATGTTGCATGCAAAATCCAGTTAGAAACTCTGGTTAAGTTGAACTGCTTCCGTTACTCACCATGTGAAAATAAAAAATTCCCACCGTCTGTTAAAAACTCTTTGTCTATCAATATAAAATTAACAATGGACCAAATCGGTTAATTTGGCTTGATACATTACGTTTAGCCCAACATCGTTATGTTTCCAAACGCCCATGAAACCTGAACCACAAACAAGTTACATCAATTAATATACGTATCCTAACAAACCAACTACATACTAATGAACGAAGATGAATAAAACCTTACGAGTGTCAATATTGGCCCGACATTAAATGTGGTGGCCGCCTACTTACTACCCGATTTAAACATAAAATATTTAACCGTGAAATAAATTAAAATGGTTTACCTGTAAAATTTTAGTCCTTAGCTATTGTCGGATCGTAAATGTATGAAGATAACTCGTGACATTTACTATGATTATACAACACATATAATTATATATACAGAGTACATATAAAGACTTAGAAGGACATGTTATATATATAATCATATCATGATGATACTATATTATATTAGTCTAGATACTATATATATATATATATATATACATATATATAATGTGGCGTTATGGCTTTATTGCGCAAATACCCATAACCACCAACTGTCTCATGTGTGAACACTACGGATGGCAGCGCAGGATTAAGACGCGTAAGCAGATGGTACGTTAAACGCGCGGCCTGGTACCGTTGCCGCCGTACTAATCGATTGCGAACTAGCGAGGCTATGTTTTCTTTGTGAAGGGTTGAGAGCAGGGGATAGGCAACCGCCCATCACGCATTAGTATTTCCCCCCAGGCGAGCTTGTGCGCTCATAAATACAATGCAGAACCCAGGACGAAGGCGGACGCTCTCTTTTGTACTTGCGGCACCACAGCGCCGAATAAGGCAGCTGCCATCTTTGGGGATCCACCGTCGAGAGCCGAGTCAGACAGGTTTTCATTTAAACCTATTTAGAGTTCTGGGCCCAAGTTTGTGGCGGGGCAGCGCGAGGTCGGGGATTAAATATCGAGCAAGCAAATACGGAGATTACCCTTGAGGTCACAGCGTGAATAAAAGCGAGCAATTTGTGGAGTGGCAAAATAGATCCTGAGTCTGTGGCCTACCTGCTGTCTTTTTCTTAGCAACAGTGTCTTTCTAAGTTGTGTACAGATTATGATGAGTTTGTTTCTAAGTTTAGGTGTGTATTGCGATTGTTTAGTCATTTTTGGAAGGGCGGAATGGTGCGTTCAGTGAAAATAGTACAAAGGCAGAACGCAAAACTAGTTTAGTATGAGCAAGGTAGTTTTCGAGGCGAATTTATGGGCAAACTCCTGCAGCATCCTAGGAGTGACCCAGCCAGGGGACAGTGAGGAGCGACGAGCAGGACCGACAGTTACTTCTCGTGAAGGATGAGAAAATTTACGGTGTCGCCCACGAGGCAGGAGGGCTACGTACCTTAAAGCCGACCGCGGATCGCAGCCTGAAATCTAGAGATCTAGCGCCAGAACAACTCATCCCTTGCCACACACAGAAGAGATTTCCCGATCGACTGCGGACATTAATGCAGGCGTTATAGGACTAATTATTGCGTGCGAACCCCCCTTCGCACACCAAGTAGAGAAATTCGCAGGGCGAAAAATCAGCCTTTCAGCCAGCAGAAACATTAAATGCATGACAGTCAGCCCCAGGAAATCAGGCAGGAGCCTAAGGTCAAACTAAAGCCAGCACGCAATAAAGAAGCAGCCCGCGAAAATTCACAGAGGCAAGCAAGCTCTGACGGCAAAGAATTAGTGGCATGAAACTATAAGAACATGTACACAGCAAAAAAAATATTTCTTTCAGTTATTTTCATTAAATAATAGTTATTAGTTAATAATGGTGCGTTACTTAATAATACAATTTAATTAATTCATATTATGATTTAGTTACTTTTTTCGTAAAACTATAGTTTTGCTGAATGAGAACTCACAAATCATTCGCAGTAAAAGGGGAAGAGACAGAAGCTGAAGTTGTAGCGGACGCTCCAGACTTGGCTCCGAGCGATTTGAGAGATTTTCTATCCTAGCAACAAACAAATTTGTCACTTTTTTACCTCAGAAAATTCATCGAATAATAATATAACTTGTGGAAACGCGTGAAAATTTGTGAGTAATTGACTAAGAAGAAAGATACAGAAGGACGCACACTGATATTCGCACGTACGAAAATCGTGAAAAACTAGCTATCATCCTCGCTAACTACAATCTTACTCACGTCAGCTGACTCCAGATGGAAAAAAGCAGGTGTCGCTACAAGAATTGCTTAACTACGCTCTCTGACAAGAAGAATGTTAAGTAACTCGAGACACGGTGGGTTCTTTGATGGGTGACCGCCCTGGAACCCTCTAGACCCAAAGGCGCCGAGCCTTTGGAGGAGGGGACTGAACAACTACGACTGCCTATCACCGACTACTTTAAAAAAGGGTTACTCCACTGTAACGTTTGACGCTAGTAAAGAGTTTATTGATTTTTTTACGAATAAATATCAGAATTGAAAAAAAAGGGTTCGGTACGACTCCCGTACTTTGCAGAGATATCTGACGCCAATGAGTGCTAACGGATGTCAGTAGCCCGACTCTTGTTTTGGTGACGGGTCAAGACGAGCGCTCTTGCTCCTGCCGACAAGTGCGAAGTGCGCTCTGTGATACGCTACCGAAATTTCAAGGACATGAGGTCAAGGACATGTATCATAAAATGGTTTCTGTTTTGGGAAAGACGTCATGACAACATGTGATAAGAAGGGAATAGAATATCAGTGGAGACCGGAATTCTATTGGTAGTGCCAATTAGAATTAGATGTTACCAATAATCAATGGTCCAAATTAAAAAGTTGTATAGCCGATATTGTGTTTCCGAGTGCAGTGGAAGCTAAACTACAATCCTGTGAGTTATACGTGGGGAGAGCGTGCTGGGAGGTGGACCAACTTATTTCTGAGTGACGTCAAGTTGCCAGACTACAAGGTAAATTGTTAACCCTTTGTATTGATAGGAGGGGTAAACCTTGTGTCTCCCAAGATGGAACCCCCTTCATCGTTACCCTAGACCATATCGTCTGCGCTTTTAAACACTCACCATTACGTTCCTATTCCAAACTGCAATGACTTAAACATGGTTCAAAATCCTATTTCTCAACTTAACGTTATCACATCTCCAGAATCTAAAATTCAAGCCTTGGAACATGAAATACTATTTCGACAACAACTTTCGCAGGAACTTCAAAGGCTACTGCAGCAAAATCCTTCCCATAATTCAAACAGTCCAATGGACGTTCTAAGCGTGTTATAAAACCCTACTCAAAATTGTGGACCTCATCCCAGTACAATTTCTCATTTAAGTGATTATAATAGTTCAAAACTTAAACGTTTAATGAACAGGGAAGAAAGTGACGGTTTTGCCAGATTAACCACCAGTGTATAATATTCTCACTGCTAAATCCTTTCAAGAACTTGAAAGAAGAGATGATTCTTGAAGTACTATTCCTAACTTAGAACTTGCCAAAAATCAAATAAATATAAGTAAAACTTCAGCTACGCTAAGAAATTTCAATACATTTGTATTAGAAATTAAGTAAATAGTAAAAAATGAATTTAGTACTAAAATTGAAAATGACTATGACTCTATATTTTTCAAAACAATAGAAGACTAGAGAAAATACAGAAAACATTCTGACGTAAATAACATCCATTCCTTTACTTCATAGATTTAAGGTACCAAATGTTCCTTAAAAATAACTTTGTTCCATCTCCTCCTACTAGAATAGATTTTAATAAATATATTCTAAGTATAACAACTCAAATTTTAAGTATTTTAATTCCACAAATTCAGCAATTAATAACAGAATTATTAAAATAGAATGCTAACGGACTATTTAGTCAAATTAATGAATTCAAACATTCACTAAATGATCAAAAAATGATATTGCGTGCATTACTAAAACACATGTAAACAATGCTAAAAAAGTTAATATTACAAATTATATAACATACAAAGGATATAGAGCCTCTTTACATGGTGATGGTGGGTGTGGCAATACTAATCAATAGAAAAATAAACCCCCAAATAAAAAATACCTAAAACGCTCTGGAACTACTCTTAAATAATAATGATAAAATATTACTAATTGGTGATCTCAATGCAAAACACCATGCACGGGGATCTAAAACGACTACCCTTCAAGGTATATCATTATTTAATCTAGCAACGACGAATATCTGGACAATACATTCCCTTTCTCAACCTACTCATTATCCATATAATAATGCCATTTCTTCAGATATTCTTGACATTGCAGTCTCGCAAAATTTAAACTTCCCATTAATAATGTCACCCGGACAGCCAGATCATGACTCTGACCGCGGAAGCCTACTACATCATAATACAAATAAGTAACGTATAAAAAAACTCAAGTCGTTACCTCATTTTCTTCAATTGTGACGCAGTCACAACGCATGGGAACTGGTTTTCCTGTTTCAGGATCTAATACCATTACTTGCGGGACAACAGCAGCACCAGCTTCGGCGCACAGCAAAGGAAATTCTTCAGCAAATCCTCCCTTAACATTCTTAATTTCTGAGGAAAACCAAAGGAAACATACGTTATATTTGTAGAAAAATTCTTAATTTTTTCAGCGAAAATCATTACTGCTTTTGGACCTCGATCTGCATAAAATTGATGTTCTGCGTAAAAATTATACGGCACTGTATGTTAATATATTTATGAATGCCATGAAAAACAACTATGTTTCTTATCACAACCACACATTATTCAGTTTAAAGATAACAATTGGAATGAAGTTATTGGAAAGGAATAATTTTTCTATTAAGCTTATCTCAAAAATATTAATTTTACATCTTTAGAATCTTGTTTCCACTTCGTCAAACAATTTGATTACTCTCTTCGTGTTACTCATACTCAAATATTTAATATACTTATTTCAAATACATACTTTACTTCTAGTACTGGGTGTGAGTGAGATTCTCAGTGAAAGTAATTGTTATCAGAACTTGATTACTCATGCTCTTCGAAAATTTATGCTTGCCTAATTTGTCCTGTTACATGTGACATCGTTAAGATTCAATCTTTGCGTTCGTAAATGGAGAGCCTATTTCGAAAGTGACATATATTCATCTCCGTTTGCTTTCCAGTTTTGTATTCTTAAGACTCTTTTTCTTTATGTATCCGAATAGGTTATCGAGTTCAAAATTAATTTCTCGTATGTTAAACGTTATCCAAAATCTGTTGAATCCTATTTTGTACTTTCAGGCTGAATGTAAATACTTTCATATTCTGAAAAATTGTTTCATGGAGATACGTCACTTTGAAACCAAGCTCTTCATTCTTCAATTTTATTGAATAATAATGAAATACTATTCAGCTTTATTCGATAATAATGCAAGCGGAGCTAACATATTGTATCGACCTCTTACATGAGAAATAAGTTCAATTCATTATTTGGAATTGAAAATTGGTTCTTTAAAACATAAAAAATGGATAATAAACTATTCTTAAAGATTTTTCATTCACAGTGAAATATATTAATTATATAATATTTTCTTCTAAAAATAACTTATTTATCCATTTATTATCAAAATACATAATAGGCTGATTTTAACCGAGTGAAACATTTTTCTATTCATTATGGTACTACAGTTTAAATTTTATTTAAAAACCTCGTTCCAAGAAATCCATTTCACGTTCATATCCCTTTGGTACAGCTTTTCTGAACGATATTCTTTTATCAGGAGACCGAAGTCTCCTTAGTTTTGCACTCATTTCAAAAATCTGGAAAATAATGTAGAAAATACATTTTACAATTATAAACATCTTTTTCAGATTTAACTGCAATTCAAAATATACAAAGCGACTCTTCTACAAATATTCTGTGACATTTGCGGTACAATTAAAGATATTTATTTTTTCTTTGTTTATCAAAATTTCTTATATTAAACAGAATGTTTTTTAATAAGGAAAATGATTGCAAAACCAGTGTTACGATTGCAAATAGATTGGTGATTTAATGATACGTTATTAAAGATTATTTTTTATCAACTGATTTTAAATGTTGTTTCATATTACACTTAAAGGTATACAAATTTAAAATTTTACTTACGGAATAAAGTTTTATTTTGAAAATTTTACGTTGAGAGCAACATATTTTATCTTCCTTTTAGACACCCATTTCGTATTTTATCCTACGAAAAGTAAAAGAACTTATTTACCTTCCTTTGAATCATTACTTAATAAAATCTCAACATACTATGTAATACTATTACTTCAACAGTAACAGTAAATATGAACACTGGTAAAAATAATAATAACAGGATTCAATTGTTGTAATAGGTAGTAACGAAACATAACCAACTTGGGTTTAAGGGTAAAAAACTGAAGTCATTAATAGTAAAAATATTCAATAAGAATATTTGTAGTAATATATAATAGTAAACCCTTGGAGAAATGTGATTGATTTTCCCAAAATAGCAATGCATGATCTTTTAGTTTCTTATATTTTTCCCAAAGACGTAAAAAATCAGCATATAAAAGTGTATTTGACTACATTATCACCGCAATTTCATCATTATCATTGTGTAACCACATTCGAGGTTACTACTAAAAAAGTACCAGAAAAGTTCTTGAGTTTCATCTCCCCCAGAAATCAACTCAAAAACTTCAAAATGAACTCAGAATAGTAAGTAGTTTTAGGAAGATTTAATGTTTCCCATCTCAATATCTTCATTAAGTAGATCAACGCCCCCTGCCAACTGGAGTGGGTATGACATTACAGTACAAAGCCTTGGCTTTCTGGGAAATGTTTCATCCAAGGCAGTGTCTCCAACATTTCGGCGTTCATACACACACTACCTTAATCAGGGCGAATGAAAAACTTCGATACTGATCTTCTATCATTCACTTCAGTGGCTGTGAATGTTGAATTGTTGTGAGACACTTAAAATATGGAAGTCTAAAGAGTAAGCAAGATGAACACAATTTTTTTTCTTTTACCGTTTTTTCTGTCTTAAGCAGATCAGCCCGTAGGCGAATTGTCCATAAGATATGAATTTAAATTCAGATAATCTAGCTTGACCTAGATAACAGGAATTCTCTTGTCTACTCTCTCTAGTTCTCTAGAGTTCTCTCAGCTCTAGCTTGATCTGAATAAAAGTTCCTGTTAGAGTTTTGTCGTAAAATTAACCGTAACAGTAATAGGCTTGAAAAAATATTGATTTTGTTTGTAAGGCCCTTTTCTAATTATATCAGTTATAATAATGATGTAATAATTTATTCATTGTAGGAAGTAACTTTATATTTGTTCAATATTCATCAATATGTATTTGCATATTTTGCGCAAAAATAGAGAATTTTAAATCTTTACAAATCTTATTTTGTACATAGACTTGTCATTCGATGTCATTTGCGTCCGCAATTATCTGGGGTACGAAAACTGATAATCCATATTTTACTTGATACGGATAGAGTACTAATATTTGGTGAAGGATTGTGAACACTATCAAGAAACAAAATACATAAAACAATACACATGGAATAATAATCTTTACCGTGGGAGAGAGGGACAACAAAGTGTCGATGACAAACGAGACACTCGCTGTTTCACGAGGAGATCCAATGATTAGTAATCTGGAAGAAGCCCCAGTATTCCGAAAGTCACTAATGGGATCGACGGATTTGGGCTGAGTTATTCTGTTGGAGTTGCCTGGAGATGCTACTCGCCGCTACTGACGGCTTCGGCCTCCAGAACGAATGGACCGAAGGTGGCACCATCGTAATTACTCGTACAGACGGCAATGGTCGTGACCAGGAGCAAAGCACGGCACAGCTGGACGAAATTTATGCGTAATGTAGGACCCACGCTTGCATCTTCCCCCTCGACACCTCTCTGCCATAGCCCCTTTCGGATTTTCTCCAAGAATTCCTTTCTTCTTCTTCTTCTTCTTCTTCTTTTTCTTCAAACTTTTATTCTGCAAAGCGAGCTTTTGAAATTGCTATGTACTTTATTATCTTCACATCCTGTAAATCTTTTACCTGTGGATGGCCGCAAACTTTCTCCGAGCGTTCTAAGAGTCAGTCACTTGAAATAAGCCTAATGTTCGCTCCCTCTGTGCGTTAACACTTAAATGTCCAATCTTCGCCTTCGCACTTTGATGAAGAGCGGAAATAATTTCTAAGTGCCATTTTCACGCGCTCCTCTCACTGAATTCCGCGCTAGCAGCTATTCCAGGGTACAGCTTAGTAAACGCTGATCGGTATCTTTCTTTCTTCATCAAAGGCGTACTAAGTATCTTTTATGTAAGTTGGACTATTAGGGAAAACATCCCTTGGCTCTCATATATTTACCTCGTTAGTCAGGCAGCATATATAAATGTTATGTTTTTATAAATGTTAGACTGGATCTTTGCATTTGCAAACAATGGTTATGAACATGTTGTAATGATATATTTTAATTACAACTTTCATAACCCTCTCTTCCTCTCTCTTCATTTCTCTCTGTCTGTCTGTCTTTCTCTCTCTTCTTCTTCTCTCTCTGGAGAGCAGTTTACGTACTTTTTTCACAGCCTGAGTCTTGAAATATTACCTCTCGGACTAACATACACCAAAGAACACGGAAACGTGGATCGATAACATCGCAATCAATTTCCAGTTTCAAGAATTTAAAAATTACCTAACTTACCTTGTTTAAAGTTGAAGTGCGATATGTTCTAGGAAGGCGGGCAACAGCATGAACACTTTTAATAGAAACAAAATTTTATTGAACTTAAAATTTGGAACTACACAATCCACTGCTTTGCCGTCTCTAGTGCGCTGGCTTGCTCCAACTGAGCTGTAGTCAGCGCAGTTCCTTTCCGTAGCGCCTCCCGGCTCGGTTCCTGGCTGACAATCGACTGACTCTCGACAGCGGGCCGTTCACTCGTGAGTGTGCGACTGCTTAGAGGACGATTTATTTAGACGTGCACTGGACGTAAATCATCTGTTGTGGTTTCATCCTATTGGGAGCTTCTATGTCGCTACAGTGACGACACTGGGGACGTCCAGCTCCCGATTTGATAAAACTGTGAACAGCTGGTTTACGTCAAGTGCATGGTTAAATAAATACTAGTGCAGTCAGCCGCCGTCTTTCATGGCAGTGGTGACGTCACGACCATGACTCGCTCTTCGCCTCCGGTTCTCGAGGTTGCACACTCCGAAGCGGCGAGCCCCGAGGGGCGTGCCGCCCCGCTGCGCGCGCGCCAATGTAAAAGACAATCAAATACAGCGAATTTTAGAAATTCGGTAAACAAGTATTTTGTATTCACTTCCATGGCACCTCGGGTACGAAGAAGTGTTGCTGGCATTATGAATGAGATATAATAAGATCTCATCCTCTGTTCCGTCAAAAATGAATATAATTTATACTTATCCATATTTTAATAATTTGTATCGACAACACCCTCGGCTGGATCTTGCAAAGAGATTAAATTTGCAGTAAAGTTCTTGCCTCAATGTATTCGCTGAAACGTCTCGGAATACGTTTACCAATTAGTACACGCGAGAATGCCACTAAATCAATTATTAGGCAACACTGATTATTGCGACTTTCTTCTGACCAACAAGACATTTAAATTACAACGTAAACTTTAACTGGCACAAAACATATGCTTACAGTTTATTTTTGATACAACAAATTCCGTCCATCTGTCGAAATTGTTTGCTTGATACATATACTTTTTCTAGACGAAAAACTATTACTTCACTCTCTGCGTCTGCTATATTAGTGGGACCGAAAATGCTTTGCAATTGCAGTGTATTACACATCCACACTACTGGTCACGTGATTGTTAATTACGTTTTACGCCACGCTGCGAAAAACTCTAATAGATGGAATACTTTCTGGCGAGTACGGCGTTGCTCTTTGTCCTGTTCTGGCCATGGTTGTCATTTCCCCTTTTGTAAAAGCGTTCTCCCTTAAGTTTGGGTATGCGCTCGCTAAGACATTGCCTTCTAGAAATTTGATTTACTTGTCCGAGATAACGTTCAAGTAATAATTCCGGCCGATATTTTACAATCATAAGAGAATGACGAGCGTAATACTTCACGGTGCGGTAAGTTGCGTAGAGCTTTCGCTAAGCGGCGCTAGAGTCATCATAAACGAATAAATAATCATCATCATCAACAACGCCGCCAATGTCCTATTTAATTCAAACCACTCTTTACATACTAATTAATCAATTGAATAGTTTTTGCTACTATTTTGAGCCTAGAATGAATCATCATAGACTTGTACAGGTACGACTATTACAACAAATACTTAAAATGCCCAAATACACGTCGATACACTTCTGAGTAGTTGAACTACAGTTCGGGCAACATTTGCAAAGTGTCCTCAAGGATTGCAGCCCATACCATTTCCCAAACTGCGTCCCGTTTATTCCCACAGTGCTGCCGGTGTAGCTGGTTTTCAGCTATTTATTGTATTTATTTATATCAAAAACAGTTAAAACTGTGAGTGACGTGCAATGGGAAGAAGTGACTTTGAAATTACATTTACGTCCAGAAGCAAAACAACGGGCCATCGCAGCATTTGCTCAGGGATCATGGAAACTGGACGAAAACCTGATCGAGCTGGTCATTATTAAGAATTCCGCAAAAGTAGAGGACGAAGGGAGTTATATCTGGAAAACGCGGTGGAAACTCAATCGAACCTCTTCCTCCTATCCAGTGCCATGGAATATTGTCAACAACGTAAGCACGAACATCTTCGCGGTAAAGTGGCGGTGCACTCTCTGACATTCAAGACCATCTTGACAAACATCTTTCATGGCACTGAATATGGCTCAAATATTTTGATTGAACTTTGTCTTCGTATGGCGCAAAGGACTCTTGAGAGAATACTCATAGTGCAGTTTCGCTGAAATCCCTGATTCTTCGAAATTTGAATACGTGCAATTTTTGGGCATCTTCCTACAACAATATTGAAGACAGATTTTTTAATGAATGAAATCTGTTCTTTGAAGACATTTTAAAATGAGGCCATGTTAAGGATTGCGAAATATAAGGATACTATTTCGCGCAGTTCAGTGCAAAATGTAAGCAATTTTTGCATTGTTTAAATATTTTTTCTCTTAATCGGCATTAAATTGTTTCTTTAAATTTTCTCCTCTCTTTCTTGGCTTAGTCTGTTGTAACTCTCAGATCTTTAAAACACGTGCAATGTACAATTCGTTGAAGAAATGACTACATTTCGCGAAATTGGTTTCACACTTTTATAATATCTAAAAAGATATATTCTTAAAAACCGCCCCAAATGATTTCTTTAAATTTTCTCCTCGTATGTATCAAGGTATGGTGAAAATAAGGCGTTAGTCTTATTTTCGGCAAACGTATTTTCAACATTGAAGATAATCGAAATAGATAAATGGAAATTGATGTTTTAGAGAAACCTTACATGACATTATTTAACAAAACTATATTCATAATTGTGTATATGATAACAATATATTATATAGTATATATATATAGATATAATATTTATATAAAATTTTATAATATATATATATATATATATTAATGAAAAAAATTCCGCTAATATGAATATTAAAGACCTGCGAGGACACGTAAAAAAAATGGAATTTTGTAATAGTATATATATACTATATATATTATATATATATAATATATATATATATATATATTGTGACGTACCTGGGAAGCCGGTACTTTCACGACAAATAAATTATGGCAAGGGACAGGTACATTTTCAGTGAATGCGTTCTACAAGGAATTTGGCGCAGCATTAAAAGATAATCATTATAAATTCTTTGCACACGTAAATATTTTAATGAATCAGAAAAACACACTTTACAAATTAGTATTTACAAATTGCAATGCGCAGGCTTGGAAACAACAGCGCACGGGGTCAACACGCTACCTTGATGTTTTAAAAACCACCTGCTCCTCATGAGAGCGACCGGGGGCCAGTCGTGGCAACGGGCGCGGTGTCCTCTTCGGCAATCTTCGGTTCGCCCCCGAAGTCCGCCGCGGGAATTCGCACCTGCGTTCGAGCGACCAACTCCTCTGGCCCCAACGATAAACGGCCGATGAATATCGCCGGGGTCCACCCCCAGCCGGTACGAGATAAATGTCATCCACGGGTAACTGAACGCACGACGCGTGAATTGATGTTCGATCGGCAGTTCTAGTCTTTTCAGTGACTTTCTCCACTTTGCGCGGGATGTCCATACAGTACTGCCCACTGTATATGTATACCAGGGCGGGCAATATGACACGAGTCCATCTCGGCCACACGATTTCCTGTCCTTATTGTTTTTATTCATCTGGTACGCATTCTACTTCTGCTATCATTCTGATTGTTAATCCTTATCAACCTGGTTCCACACTCACGCCACACTCGCGTCCGAACTGCACTTAACAACGACAATTAATCTCTTGGACGTAGCACTGCCCCGTCCGTGCTTCACTTGAGGCCCTCTCCGCGCACTACTCTAACCGTCGCTCGCCTCGCCGTTTGCCCCCCGCATTTGACGCCGTTGGAGGCAGGCGCGGCGTTACTGCGCTGATCAACTCCAGTACTTTATTTTAATTATAATTAGTGATCAATTTCAATTGTTCTAATATAGAAACGTTCTTCGTTTCAATATATAATGAACAAAATGCCGCTAATATGAATATTAAAGACCTGGAGGACACGTAAAAAATGGAATTTTTGTAATTTTTGAGAATACATAAGGATAGAGCAATATAGTTTATATGTCATCTCATAGAATACATTTTGCACTATCTCTACCAAAAGTTTAAAGAACAATTTTGAAGCCATTTTGGAGAAAATCGTGTCTTGTTTGAATATGCAAATATTGCACACAATATTTACTGAAAATTAATAAAATTTTTAAAAAATGTACACAATCTAAATAAAATAACTAATTATGAACAACAAATTTAATTTGAAGGAAAAACCTCTAACTTCAATTTTGTAGTTACAGGACGACACCAAAAACATTAATATTTTTGAAATTGAAATTAATGAAAAATCACTCCCTTGAAATTTGTAATAGCCGATAAAATTTGAAACTTTTGAAATTTTCGAAAATTTCCATCTTTATCGCTTGAAATGTGATATTAAAGGTATAACATATTTAAGATATACGTATTTCTGACATTTTTGAAAAATAAAACGAGAGATATTTTATTTCATCTAAAATAGTGCAATTGCACTACCCGTACGAAAAGTTGGAAGAAACTTGTGGTGCTACAGAATGGCCCAGATTGATGACGATAGTGATGTTCAGAGAAGGACCCCAAAAGGGATATCTGCGTCGAAATCTCGAAATCTATTTTCCGCAGTATTACATTACTGTCTGTGTACTACGTGTATATACGTACATATACGAAAAAGTAAAAACAACTTTTTCGGTATCAGGGGCCCCTAAAACCTGTATTCTCGTTGTAATCTCGAAATTGATTTCCTGCAGCATTACATAACTATTTCTAATTCTATGTATATTATTCCGTAAATACATACGTACATATACGAGGATATAAAAGTCTATGGTTTAAAAAAATATCGTGTTAAGTCGAACGCAGTGGAAGCAAAAGTGGATGAGGTATACCGAATGAAAGAGCATTAATCTCTAAACCTGTGTGTTTCTTAAAATCTCTTGATCCTACAAAAATAAATCAGTATGGGCACTTAAATATGCGGTTCTTTGCTTGGAATAGTAATAACGTAGCATCTTTCGTGAACTGTATTAAAAATTAGGCGTTACGATCCGGTAAAACAACAAATATTTCTTCATTCCTTGGTTTTCTCTGATGGTTTATTTCCTGAACAAATATTGTGTCTTATTAGAAAGGTATTATAGTGGTCATAATTTGTTTAAATTCATCCAGCTTGACATGTGGGTTGGATCATATAGCTTCTGTGGTTAATGTGTGATTTTAGAAGAATA